CAGGTATTTCAGCATGGAAAGAACACCAGGGCAGAGCAGTGCAAGGCCAGTCCAGCTCACCAAATCCAGCCCTGGGCTACAACAGAACTGCACCCCACAACCCCCTTCCAGAAACTGGGCAAGCTCTGCCACCAAGTCCATAAAACTCTCCTTCCTGCACACCTGCAGAAAGGCTGCTGGGTGTCCTCTGATGGTAACAAACTTCCTTAAATGCCCAGACTTTGATCTTGGTGCTGTTTGGTTCTCCTCTGTACACACTGCCAGCTCCAACTGCTTTTCCCTCTGGATTTCCCCCTCGCTGCATCCTCTGCAGCCTTTCCTGTGCTGGAAAACTGTGGGAACCCAGGATACTCCTCTGGCTGCCCTGGAGGACTTGAGACCCTGTCAGGGGGCTCAGAGACCTTGGCACAGAGCCCAAGACCCCTTTGTGCCTTTGATTGAGCCCTTGGAAAAAACAATTACCAACTTTATATGAAGAATTACAAGCCACAAAAGTTTAAGCAGAATGACAGTGAATTTATCACAGGGTGAAAAAATAGATTTTTGGGGTTTTTAGAATGGGGGTTCAGGGGGCAAGATGGAGGGATCTGGACGTGTCCAGCCTTTCTCCTTCTTCTTCTTCTTGGCTTCCATCTTCTGCTGTGATGTTGGCACTTTTGGATTGGTTTAGAGTAGAAGCTCACTGTCTGACACAGGTGATAGGTATTGGAAAGTTATTGTAAATATTGTACATGTAGTTTTTAGTATAAAAAGATAACACTGCCCCGCGGGCAGGCAGAATGCCTGGAACTGTCCTGCTGAACAGACCTCAGATGGACAGGAGAAAAAATTTTATAGATAAGGAACAATAAACAACCTTGAGACCGAGAAATGAAGAGCTCTGACTCCATCTTCGACCACCAGGCTGGGAAAAGAGACTTTCTAACACATCTTGGGGTCACTCTGAGCAGAGAAAGATCCTGAGAGAAAACAAATTAAATAAACTTCTCCTCATCAGAGTGAGGCAATATTTAGTGAGCACTGGGCTGTAGAACCACAGAATCATCAGGGTTGGAAGAGACCTTTAAAATTACCAAGTCCAACCGTCAAACTTCCTAAAATATGGGTAAATCCACAAATAATGAATCATTCTCCTAAAAGGGAATAGATTTACATGGATCATCTCCTTCCAATCCCCTGCCATGGGCAGGGACACCTTCCCAGGTTGCTCCAAGCCCCATCCAGCCTGGCTTTGGGCACTTCCAGGGATGGCAGAAATTTAATCTGAAAAGAAACCTGGATTTGATGCATGTTCAGCCCCTGTGAGGAAGGGGTGGGTGTCTGAAGACAAAAAAAAAAGTGTTAAGAAGGTCACTGTTGTTTATCAGTGGAAATCCACCTGCTCAACCCCAGCCAGTGATCAACCTCAGCACCATCAAGTGCTCTTAACAAATGACTAATCTGCCTGACACATCAAATTACAGCTGTGATTAAGCCCCTCTGATCAATACCATTGATAATGGCTCCTAAACAAAGCTTTCTTTCCAGAATGTACCGAGACACTGTGTTTATTTCCACTCTTTTGATTAGAAAGGATAATAAAACACTCGTTAAACCTCAAGTGGTTCTCCTTTTCCTAAAAAGCTGTGGGAAGTGCAGAAGGCAACACAACGACCTGGCCGTAAATCAAAGTGTAACACTGCAGATCACAGGGAGCCTCAATTTTCCATCCAATTTGCAGGATGCTTTCCACCCTCCTGTTCTGGAGGATGGAACTGGGTTAAAATCATGTTTTTCCTCAGAGTTTTGCTAGGATTTCTCTTTCCAGCAACACTCAGATGAAGCAGTCATCACCTTCATAGGATCTCATATCATCACCTTCATGAGACTTCTCTCCAGCAAACTCCCCCCTTGCCCCAACCCATCAAAGTTCAAAGTTTGATTTAACAGCTCAGGCACATTTATTGAGTTATGGGGCCCCACTCCAGAAAAAAAACACCTTCTTTGACTTGTGCTCACATTCTGTGAACGCTCTGAAGGGGAAGCACATCCTATATAGGCACTTGGAAATTGTCCACACAGCACATAACAGAGTTCTCCACACATTCATCCACAACACCCATTTAAGAGCCAACAATTCTGCTTTTTTCTGTTGCCTCCAGGGCAGTTGTGAGTGTCTGGATAATAAATTCAGGTACTGAGCTCCTAAATACCTGCTGATGTTTTGGGATAAATAATTGCCAAATGCTTTCCACAAAGGAAGGGACGTTAAAATCATCTCCTTCCATGGGCAGGGACACCTTCCACTGTCCCAGATTGTTCCAAGCTCCATCCTTGGGCACTTCCAGGGATGGAGCAGCCACAGCTTCTCTGTGAGAGGAATGATGGATTTGTCTTTCCAAACAAGCTGTGGGTCTGCTGGTAGGTAAAATCAGCACTGAGATATAAAAGAAACAATGGGAAGGATTCCACTGATTGAGGAATGGAAAAAAGATATTTGCTTTTAAAAATAAACTTTAGGTTTGCTGATAAATTAAGCTGGATGTCAAAAGATGAAAGAAACAATGGGGGAGAAAAATCTCTAAATTCCGTAAGAATTAAAAATGAAAAGGGAAGGCTATACATTAGAGGGAAATCTCTGGTATCAGGGAGTCTGAACCTCTCAAGTACCTCAGCCAATGGGGAAAGAGAGAGGGAAATGCAGATGGGAAACTGGGATAAAAAGGGAGGCCGTGTCCTCCAAAAGTTTGAGAAATCCCAGGGGAATGCCCCATGGCCTCTCCCTTTATTTCAATAAAGCCAAAAAAGGACTGCTCTGTCTCCTTTTCGGACATAAACCTCTGGTGCTTGTGAATTAATTTTCCTGACATCTGGAAACCTGTGTCAGGCCTCACTACCCTCTCAGGAAAGAATTTCTTCCTAATATCCAATCTAAACCTGCCCTCTTTCAGTTTGAAGCCATTCCCCATTGTCCTGTCACTCCAGTACTGTATTCATGGACAAAACCATTTTCCTGTGTTTAAATCTGCAATTTCTGAATCAGTCCAACTCATCAGTAAAGACTGGTGGAGATTTATCCCAGTCCAATATTTCAGCATTCCAAAATTTCAGCATTTCAGGGAATAAAAACCTCCAAAGGATTTCTATATACTTGCTTTGGGCATTAATGACTTGCAACATGGCTGTGTGTCTTTACTTCAGAACTGGGAAAAATATTTCCAATAATTAAATTCTGTTGTTACAGAAAAAAAAAAAAAAAAGAAAGAAAAAAAAGAAAGAAAGAAAAGGGAAAAAAAAAGAAAAAAAAAAAGGAAGAAAAAAAGAAAGAAAAAAAAAGAAAGAAAAAAAAAGAGCTGTTGTAGATTACAGTTTCCAATGAGAAAAAATCATTTTGGAAAAGCAGAAAAAGCACCATCGCTTCAACTATTTATTCTCCTTTTAATGTATTGTATTTAATTAAATTTCTTTAAATATCCATGAAAACTAAATTAAGCATTTAGCTGGCTTTCAGATGAAGGTTTTTATCCACCCTGAATTCTCCCTTTACTGGATTCCAGAAGAACATTTCTTCAAAAGACTCCATTTAAATGTACAAGGACACTTGAAACAGCTTCCTAATCAAAGACAAGCATCCCTTAGCAGATAAAAGCAGGGGCCAAAAGCCTTCCTGGCATCCAGGAAGCTCCTCCTGGGATCAGCTTGTCCCAGGATTCTGCTCCATCAGAGCAGTCCTTCACTCTGTGGCCTGGCTGCAAACATTGCCAGTGGAGACTTTCCTCTTCCACTTTTCCCTCTTTTGGAAGGAGGGATGCAAACCTCAAGCAGGATTTCTGATTCATCTTCCCAGCAAAATGATCCCTTTTTTATTTTTTTTTTGGATCCTGGCAGTCTCACCTGGGTTCCTACACACCTTTTACTGACAGACGTGGGGTTGGTAGCTTGAGAGAGGCATTTGGAGGGGGAGAGATCCAACTGGATGCCTTAATTTGGAGTTCTGACGGCTCTGCTGCAGGACAGGGTGGGATGGGATGGGATGGGATGGGATGGGGATAACCCCAAAACCTTCCTCCTTTCCTGATCACTGAAGCAGGAAGAGGGTTAAGGAGAATGGAGTCCCTTCCAGGGGGATTTCTCAGAGTGGTGAGTGCTCCATTAACATGGAGAGGATCTCAACTGCCTGTCCCAACTCCAGAAATACTTCACAGCCTTGGAGCACCCTCTGCTCCACCATGAGGACAGGAGCAATTTTGGCACAGGGAAGGGAGGGCAGCTCAATCAAAGGAGATGGTCACAATGACTTCTCTTGAAGTTATCCAAGGCCTGGAAGAACTTCAGGCTTTCAGCTCCCAAGGAAAAATTGGAAAAATTCCAGTTCAAGGAGGTGGACTGTCGCAGACATCTTTTCATTAAAAATCCTTCCTTAAGATTTTTTCCTCCTGAGAAGCTGAGAGGCCTCAGGGATGTAAACAATGGTTATCTGCTGCTGTGGAATGCAACAGGTGCATCTGTGATTGGTCTCATGTAGATGTTCAGAATTAATGGCCAATCACAGTCAGCTGGCTCGGACAGAGAGTCTAAGGCAGCTGCCTTTGTTATCATTCTTTCCTATTCTATTCTTAGCCAGCCTTCTGAGATGAAACTTTTCCTTCTTTTCTTTAGTATAGTTTCAATCTAATATATATCATAAAATAATAAATCAAGCCTTCTGTAACATGGAGTCAGATCTACGTCTCTTCCCTCATCCTCAGACCCCTGTGACCACCATCACTATGGACAACTGTGATTAAACCCACTGGAACACCTCAGTCAGGCATTCCCAGCCAGGAGGCTGCAAGGGAACCTGCAGAGCTGCTGGAACTCTTGTCTGGCTTTGGAAGCACCTATTTCTCTCCCCACTGAAGAGCAGCTGGAGGAACCCTTGCTCCAGCAGCAGAAGGGCTGGGAAACGGCCAGGACAAGGCAGCTGTGAGGCTGAGGGACCTGGCTGTGCTGGCCAGGGAGGGACAGAAGCGTTGCCATACCTGAGGTGTGGTTGTCCCAGGTGAGCTCTGCCAGGCACAGGCTGCGCTCCTCCTCGATCTCCTGCATGATGCTGCACTCGGGCCGCGTGCTGGACGCCTGCAGGGAGGGCACAGAGGGACACAGTGAGCAAAGCCCACCCTCAGGGAGGCATTCCTGGGCATTCATGGCCTCGTGGGGCAGGCTGGAGCTCTCCAGGACCATCGCAGAGATCTGCACCCAGCCTTATTCTGTGCTCGCTCAAGAGGAGGGAGAGCAACCCAGAGCTGCTGAAAAAAAATCAGCATTCTCTTCAAAAAAACCCCACACCCTATTTTTTTCTGGTAATCAGTGTGATAATTCACCTGTGAGGAATTTTGGAAGGATTCAAGAGGCAGCCTCTGAATTGTTTTTGATGATGCAGTTTATTTTCTTATCTTCCACATGGGCAGGAAGGGTGAGTTCAGCTCACATCTTCACAGCACGGCTCAGAAGGTCACCAGACCTCTAGTTACAAGGCCTTTTAAGGAGTTATTGACCAATAAAACACTGCCAACAAGGATTATTTATGGTTTTAACCCAATCCTTAAATATTTAGTCTTATGGACTCATGCTACAGTGTGAGCTTTCTTAGCCAATCCTGTTCTAACACACAAATCCACAGTACTGCATTCTAAACTCCTTGTTTACATCTGTAACCACTTTTATTTTTTCTGTATCTTAAACTCTAAAACTCTAAACTTTCCTCTTCTCAGCTTAACATGTGTCTGCTTTAAATTATAAATCCACATTCTCCCTTCTAGCACCAAAGTTTTCCAAGGTCTCAGCTCAAATCCTGGGTTAAATTCCAAGCTTTGGCTTCCAGGCCCAAAGTTCTGAGAGTTCCCTGAATTTTGGATTCCAACAGATGAGGAGCAATCCTGCTGCTCTATGCTCTGGAAACCCTGTCTGGCTAACCAGCACCACCAGCTATGTAGGGCAGGGCAGATTTAATATTTATGCCAGGAGCAGTGGGACCTGCGCTTCGTGGTTTATTCCCTGGCTCTCACACTAATTCAAAGCACAACAAACCCCAAATCAAATAAGAACAGGATCTCTGATGCAGATTAGGAGATCAAGGAGCTAAAAAGCGGGAAATTCCCAGTGAGAAGGCTTTTCCCCCCTCAAGTGGTTTCTCCTCAGCCAGCCCTAATCAAGTTGTGTTTGTAATACAACAGTGGCCATAAATGTTCAGGTGATTAATTGTGGACTCCTCACAACGTGCAATTCATGAACTGCCTCAATCATAAAACGTGGGAATGGTGATTTTTAACTCCAAAAAAGGAACTCACACATTTCTCAGTGTCCCCTTGTCACCAACACACTCTCAGATTGGAGGGGACACCTTGACCATTGCCATGGCCAGAAACTGAGGCTGCTCCCAACCCCAGCTCTTCCGAAGGGATTGCAAAGGGCATTTGACAGGGAGAAAAATGGATTTGGAGAAAAATGGAGCTGGATTTTCAGAAATCCAGCTGCAAAGAGGTGGAGAGAAGGGACTGATGTCAAGAGAGCCAAGCCTTGGCTTGAGTTCATGCTGTCCCTGTTAAATGTAATGTGGGAAAAAACATCAGCGGGGCGAACTTCAGGAACAGATCATGAGGACACAGGAGAAGTGATTGATTCAGTGTTCCCTCTTGGGATAACCATGTATTTTAATCAGAAATAGGCAGAGAAAATAAATTAAGAAAACAAAAATAATTTCCTGTCTCGTTTCAAAACACGTTGAGTTATTGTTCTGTTGATATATTTGCCAGTCAAGGTTTTAAGACAAAAAAGGTCCAGCAATCCTTTGAAGGAACAATTGTTTGATGTAAATTTGGGTTAGGATTAAAAAATAATTTAATACAATAAATTAATCTCACCATTTCCTATTAACCTATCCTGCTCTCTTCCCTGTTTCATGCCATGCCTGGTTTAGATTTTAATTTCCTTTAGGTTGGGAGTGGGCCTTGATTAGTAGTGTATAAACAAATAATTGTGGTTTTCTGGTCAAATTAAAAATAAATAAAAATACAAACACCAGAAGAAGGGGAATCTATTTGGAGCTGTCTTCGTTCTCAAATATTTCTTTTCCCCAAAGGGAAACAGATCTTAGGAAATTTCATCTTGGCTCATCTGAAATACCATAGAGTTATTCTGTTTTGATTTACAGTTCTTCTTGCCATTTTATTTTAACCTTAAAAAAGCACAAGGGGAAGCGTGAGAGATTTGCAGAACACTTGCTGGAAAAATAAAGATTGAAATGTTTTCAAAACATTCTGACTTTTTCAAGGGGAAGTTTTAACTCTCTGGACTTAAACATTTGCCAAATTCATCTCACATCTATAAATACCTCCGATTTTCACTTTATAAATTAATGAATTCATACTACTCTAGCTTTGATCAGGGCTGGCAAAGCTCTCTGTAGTTCTACAATAGATCTGAATTTTTTTTAGGCTGAAGATTTTACTCCAAGCCCATTAGCAAGTACTTCACTGCCACTTCTTCCCTTCACTAAAATCTCATGCCTGAGTTGGATAATTGTATATTCACCTCAATGATCCAATATTTATTTCTGATTAAGTGGCTTTATCACCTTTAAAAACAAATCAGGCTCTGTTTTGAAAAGCAGGCTTGTGACAGGCTCAGGTAAACTTGAATATACATAGAATCTTTAAAATCTCATCAATTTTTGACATACAATCCAAAAGAAAATGTATCTATTGTGAGAGGCTCAGGTAAATTTGATTATGCATAGAATCTTTAAAATCACATCATTTTTTTTGCTATACAATCCAAAAGAAAATATATACCTATGATAGGCAAAAGTCTGAAAAAAGAGTGTCCAGCAGTTAAATACCAAAATACAGAAAATCTTGGATTTGTGGTGCCGGTGCTGACTTCTTGTGAGCTTTCAGGGAAGGTGGGTGTTCACACCAACTGCAAATAAAACTGCAGGTCAGGGGCAGAGGGGCTGGAAAAGGTCCTGGGGGTGCTGGTGACAGCAGCTGAACATCAGCCCAGGTGTGCCCAGGTGTGCCCAGGTGGGCAGGAAGGGCACTGGCACTTGGATTGGACAGGAATTGGGTGTCCTGCAGGACCAGGGTGAGAATTGTCCCCTGTGCTGGGCACTGGTGAGGCCACACCTCCAACCTGGGGTCAGTTTTGGGCTCCTCATGACCAGAAGGACATTGAGGGGCTGGAGAGTGTCCAGAGATGGGAATGGAGCTGGAGAAGGGGCTGGAGCACCAGGAGAGGCACTGGTGAGGCCACATCTGGAATCCTGGGGTCAGTTTTGGGCTCCTCATGACAAGAAAGACATTGAAGGTCTGGAGAGTGTCCAGAGATGGGAATGGAGATGGGGAAAGATCTGGAGCACCAGGAGAGGCTGGGGGAGCTCAGTCTGGAGAAAAGGAGGCTCAGTCTGGAGAAAAGTTGTGGCTCTGCACAGCTCCTGACAGGAGGGGACAGCCAGGTGTGGCTCTGCTCCCAAGTGACAGGACAAGAGGGAACGACCTCAATCATCACCAAGGGATGTTTAGTTTGGATACCAGGGAAAATGTTTTCACTGAAAGGGTTGTCACTATAGGACACGAAAGAACACAAGCTCACACCGCTGTTTTCAAGGTGAAGGAAAAAAAGGGAAGTTTATTTTCTGACTCCAACATTTATAGTTTTCTAAAAGTGACAGCGGATTGGAGGGTGACAGTGCCACCTCTCCAAGGACACTGGTCAAACCAACAGTCCATCAAACTTCTCCTCCTCCATAAAGGAATGCAAAACAATGAGTTATTTACAGAAAGTGTGTGAGAAAGATCACTACAAGAATGTCAACATCAGAAAGCTTAGAAAATCTTAAAAAAACAGAGTGACAAAGGGTTAACCCTGGCACAGGCTGCCCAGGGCAGTGGTTGAGTCACCATCCTCTGGGGACACTTAAAAGCCATGTAGATGTGGCCCTTGGGGACATGAGGGAGTGGTGGCCTTGGCAGTGCTGGGCTAATGACTCCTCTTGATGATCTTGGAGATCTTCCCCAACCTTAATGATTTTATGATCCCATAAAGAAAAGAGTGGGATGTATCTCAGCTCCTCTGTCAGTGGGACACATCATCCCTCAGTTTTAGCTGAGTCAGAGCTCTATGTTTAGTCTGACCTGATGTTTTTTACCATTCCTCCAAGTCCACAGAGAGCAAGCAAACCCCAGCTCTGAAGGCTTTCATCCCACTCCACTGCCTGTGCTTGGATGGCTCCAAACTTAAACAGCCAGCACTCAGCTGGAAAAGGTCAGTGATGTGTGAATTTAATGTCCACAGACCTTTAACTCAATCAAGGTCAACAAACAGATTCACACTGGAGGACTTGGAGCTTATGGCTCATTTTGCACATTAACTAAAGGAGTAAATAAATAACTCTATCACTGCTCCTTCCTCCTCAGTGATAACAGCAATAACCCTCACATGTCACAGCAGTCACTGATACAGGCTGAGAAAGGCAGGTGGAATAAAAATAACACAAAAATATCACAGTTTTGACATCATTAGGAAACAGAAAGTGTGGGGTTTTTTGCTGGGGGGTCATCAGGGAACAAGTGCAGCTGCCTATATTCCCCCAAGGTGACAAAATGCTCATGAGGTTGGAAGAGCCCTGAAGAACAGTCAGTCCTGCCTAGCAAGAGGAGGAGCTAAATAATCATCTTTCTTTGGTCTATTCCTCCTGGAAAAGTTGAATTAAACTTTACAGACAGCTTTGTACCAACTCACTTTACTAATTCTCCATTTCTAGGAGAATTAGTTAAGTGAGTTGGTACAAAGCTGTCTGTGAAGTCGAATTCTTCTCATTTTTACTATGTTGTGTTGTTCTGTTTGGGTTTTTTCCTATGGAAAAGGCAGAGATTTTGGGTTTTGGCCTCTTTGACAGCAGTGGGCAACTGGCCACACAGACAAAGGGCTGGGGAGCACATGAAAATTCACTTTTCCCATCCAAAAAGTAAATATAAAGCAAAAAACACGACAAGCTCTGGTTAGTTCATGTCAACATCAGAGGGTGAGCTGTAATCCAGTTTCTTGGGAATATCCATTGTGGGTGAGGCTGAAATGAG